ACCGAATAACAGGGACAACCTCGTGGACAACTTCTCGAAGCACAAGGACGAGGTTGAGAAGATCTTGGCCGAAGGTGTAAAGAAGCTATAATGCGGCACAGTTAGGATTTGATGCGCAGATAACGGGAGCGACATGCAGCGGCGGGTCCGTGGATCTTTCGGTACATCCTTCGTAGCTTTTGATAGTAATTCAACAAGGATCATGCATACAGAAATGCAAGTGTGTAAATGCGATGTGAAGGAATAGGATGCTGCTCAAACGGGTTAGGCGGCTTTGACCCCGCGGGAGTCAGCCCCTGCCACAGCCACAGGCGGGCGAGTGATCTCATCGCTGTTTGGACACAGATTTGTCGCAATGACTCCAGACTGACCTCAACGCGACTGCGCCGTGCTGACGCCCTTTTGATGATTGTTCTTGTAGCGTAGCTCTGGTGAGAAACGCCCTTGCCGTGCTTGTTATGTTGACTCACCGTTGCTGCGCACTTTGTCTCGACTTTTTGCTTGCTGCCTGACCGAATGCTCGCTCGTCTTATTCCATTCTTCCCGCTCCCACGCATTTGCATTGCACCACCTACCACCTTTTGCTTACCTTCGCCTCTCCCACAGATACATCGGCCATTGCGAAGCCCTACTCGAACCTCCCCCACGTTTTCACGGTCCTTCCGATCGACCGCCATCATGGCGCACCGCGACCAAGCCCCGTATACGCCCCAAGACCCCAAAGAGATCACCGAGCTGGTCCACACCCTCGAGGCGCACCAGGGCAAGAAGGGCAAGGGCGGTTTCTCCGTCAAAAAACACACGTTCCCGCTCCCCAATGGCCGCACCGTCGACTCGTGGAAGATGAACGAGTGGGACTATAAGAAGGCAAACCTCCCGACATACGCGCGAGGACTCTTCACATACAAGAACCGCGACGGCAACTACGAGATTGCTACACGAGGCTATGACAAGTTCTTCAACCACGGCGAGGTTCCCAAGACTCAATGGAGGAACGTGGAGCAACACACGCAGGGTCCGTACGAGCTGAGTGTCAAGGAGAACGGCTGCATCATCTTCATATCCGGTCTCGATGATGGGACATTGTTGGTGTGCAGCAAGCACTCAACTGGTCCACGGGGCGAGGAGCTCAGCCATGCCTGCGCAGGTGAGAAGTGGGTCGAGCGCCATGTTGCGACCGTTGGAAAGAGGAAAGAGGACCTCGCCCGCACACTCCGATCCATGAACGCGACGCTGGTGGCGGAGCTGTGCGACGACGACTTCGAAGAGCACGTCCTAGCATACACTCCGGAGCAAGCTGGTCTCTACGTCCACGGCATAAACCTCAACCTACCCGAGTTCGCTACGTACCCAGGCCACCTGGTGGACAAGTTCGCGGAGGAGTGGGGCATGAGGAAGGTCACATACGTTATGGAGAATGATGTCAAGGAGGTTAAGAAGTTCTTGGACAAAGTCGCCGAGACGGGCAACTATGAAGGCCGCGACACAGAAGGCTTTGTCATCCGGTGCCAGGCGCGCGAGACCGAGGGTGCGCCGTATGTGGATTGGTTCTTCAAGTACAAGTTCGAGGAGCCATATCTCATGTACCGGCAGTGGCGTGAGTGCACCAGAGCTTTGATCGCTGGCAAGCCACCACGGTACAAGAAGCACGAGGCCATTACTAAGGAGTATTTGGACTTTGCTCGCCGCCAGTTTGCCCAGAACCAAGGTCTAGCCAAACAATACAACGCGAACCACGGCATCATCAAGATGCGCGATGACTTCCTAAAATTCCGCGGAACAACCGGTGCGGATATCATCCGGCAGGAGCAGCTAAACGGGCCCGTCGAGAGTAAGAAGGCTGACAGGAACATTGTACTTGTCCCGATTGCGACTATTGGATGCGGAAAGACAACTCTCGCTCTCGCGTTGGTCAAGTTGTTCGGCTGGGGCCATTTCCAGAACGACAACGTCAAAGCGAAGAAGGGTCGCGGTCAGATCTTCGCTGACACCATCTCTTCATTACTTGTCACAAATCCCGTCGTCATCGCCGATCGCAATAATCACCAAAAGCGTGAGCGCGATCAGATCATCAACGACATCTCCAAGACCGTACCTGATGCCCGGTTCGTCGCACTACATTATGTGCACGATCGATCCAACTACGACCGCATTCGACAAGCAACACAGAAGCGCGTGCTCGATCGTGGAGACAACCATCAAACAATTCAAGCTGGCTCGAAAGGCAGGGGCGAGATCGTTGAGATCATGGAGGGCTTCATGCATCGCTTCCAACCAGTCGACCCTTCAGACAAGCCAGATGATCTGTTCGACCTCGTCATCGACCTTGACCCTACGGTCGACTCGCGCGAGAACCTCGAGACGATCATCGCAAAGATGTTCGAGACCTACCCAGCCCTGTTCGCCGGTAAGGAAATGCCGACGGACCCCGACATGGACGCCGCCATTCAGTGGGCCATGCACGACTACACTCCAGATTTCAAGATGGACCTCTCTCAGGGTAACAAAAACAACCAGAGAGGCAACCAGAACCCACAGAATGGTCAACGAGGAGCCAACGTCCAACAATCTCAGCCCACACCAAAGCCAAAGAAAGCGCCACGCATGGAGTACTTCTCCGTCCGTCTCGATACCGGCCGCATCAACGCGATTCTCGAATCCTTATTCAGGGACAAGGACGCAAACACCGCAAGCATGTACAAGCAACTGAAGCAAAATCAGCGCGTCCAAAACGAGTTCCACGTCACTCTCATTCACCGCGCGTCTGCCTCTCAAAACCAGGAATACTGGGACAAGCTCAGCAAACTCCATGAATCCGCACAGCGAACCAACACCACAGGTACGTGGGAGCCTGAGCTAGGAAAGTGCGATGTACAGATGGAGCGGATAGTATGGGACGACCGCATCATGTGCTTCGTAGTTCGTCTGAATGGCTCTAGTACTCTTCAGATCGATAGCGCAGCTGGTACAACGACGGAAGAGTTGCTCTTCACAACTGTCAATCCTACTGCACACGTCACAGTCGGTACAGCGGCTCAGAACATCAAGCCCATGGAGAGCAATGCGCTCCTCCAGCGCTGGCTTAACGGCGGCTCCGGAGGCGACACTGGTATCGGTGAGATCAGCGTTCGCGGTAATCAGGTCCTTCAGGGGAGTGTGAGGGGCGTGTTGGGTCGGATGTAGATCGACGACCAGACTGGGAATTCTCATCGTAAGAGAAACAACAAAAAGCAGCGAATAAAGACAGGTAACAAATGGAGATGAAGCCGGTCACGCCCCGGTGACGGGCTGAGGACAATGGGATGGTAGTTTGGCACTGGAAGTACGGGTGCAGAAGAAAATAGGGCGAAGGCATCGGCCTGCTGGAGTCGGGTCTTTCATGAGGAGTGGCATGATTTCAGCGATCATGAAATTACGGAAGAAAGGATTGGATGGAAACAGTCATAGCATAAATACTTGACAAGCATGCCAGTGAATGAAAACGATATACTTCCTACATGTACCATCCAATCGTCGATAGTGGATTAGAGATTTTCAATATCGTGCATACAGCAATCCAACATCGATACTGCCGTCAATCAAGGGCTGCTAGAAGTACACATTACCCTAGATATCACTCAGTTGTCAAGATTCAAGACTGCGTATGCTGCAACCCCTGTCATAGTCTATCCGTTGCTCACATGCCAACACCTGGACACCCCCTCTAATAAACAGCCGGAAACACACCCACCCTCCCCCCATCCGTCAATTGTGTAGTCCCATTAACATACGCCCCACCCTTACCCACAAGGAACAGTAACAACCCTGAGATATCATTGATTCCGCCCATCCTCCCTTGTGGTATTTGGTTCGTTCCATATACGGGATTGAGCCCCGCTGTCATGTCACTCGGATAAGGCCCAGGACACACAATGTTACTCCGTATACCCCATTCGGACAGGAAGGTCGCCATCATCTTGCCCAGGTGGGCGGCGGCGGCTTTACTAGCGTTGTAGGCGAGGCCGGCAGAGACCCAGCGCATGTAGGAGGCGACGGATGCGACGGTTATGATGTGGGCCATGCGGTCGTCGTCTGCGTCGATTCCGTTTTCTGTCGCGAGGGTGGTGTCGCGGGCGCGCGCGTTGCCTGTGCCGGTGACTTTTCCGGGTGTCCAGCCGCGGCGCGTGTTCGCTGCTTCGAGCAAGGGGAGGAAGGTGGCGGAGACGCCGATGACGGATTGCGTGTTTATCGCCATGGCGTCTTGCCAACCATCATAGCCCGCGACCATGGTTTCTGATAGCTGCTGTATGGACTCGGCTTTGTAGATGTCGGCGCCGTTTTTGGGGCCGATTACGCCGGCGTTGTTGATTAGGACGTCGACGTAGCCGATGTCTTTTTGTATGGTGTCGGCGGCGGCTTTTACAGAGGCGAGGTCTGTTACGTCGCAGGGAAGGGCGTGGAGGGTGCCGGTGTTGTTGGAGTCGCGCGGTACGTTGGCCTGGAGGTCGTTGACGGCTTGCTCGAGGACTTCGCGGCGGCGACCGAGGAGGTAGATTCGCTCCGCGCCATTTTGGTAGAGTGCTGATGCTATGGCGAGACCGAGACCTGTGATGGTAAGCTTCTGGCTACGGATACTTTGAGCTCGAGCATGTCGAGGCGTGAGGGCGCGGGGCTTGGTGGGGTAGCTCGAAGCTTGAGTAACGTACCACTGCCGCCGCCTGTGATGACCACCACTAGCCCTTTCGCCGAGAAGATGTCGTTTGGTCTAATTGGTGTTGAGACGTCCATGGTGATGAAGATTGGAGAGTACAGAAGATGCAGAAAAGTGACTTGACTTTCACAGAAGAAAAGACGGACTTTGCTACTCCGACATGGAGCACTATGATTGCGTCACAGACGGAAATAAGCCGCTTGCAAAAAGATCCCGCGGCATGCTGCGCGTTGAATTCCGATTACGATGGGTATCATACGAACCTGCAGACCTGGTGAACGCCATTCCCTTTGTGCTTCTCCTGTGCCAACTAGCTTATACCCCCAATGATCTTCAGCCCCAAATTGTCCGCGGAGTATGCGAGGATATACCGGCACGGATGCCAGGCAACGTGGGACGCTGGTGTCGGCACATCGACCGTGTGGACAATCTCGCCGGTGTGAACATGCGCAATGCGTATCTTCTTCTCTTCCTTGTCATCGGAGCCCGCAGTAACATAGCTGCCGTCGAAGGAGAAGTCGACCGACTTGATGATGCCACCGGTCAATTCCAAAGTCCGTGTGCATATCCATTCTTGTATGTCCCATAGTGAGATAAGCGCGTCGCCTCCACCTGCTGCCAGGTATTCGCCGCTGGGCGATAGTGATACGGCGTAGCATGCAGAGGTATGAGCGTTTAAAGTCATGGCGTTTTCGAAAGACGGGTAGCGAAGACTTCTGACGCTGCCGTCGCCGGCTGTCGTGTAGAGGTGGTTACCGGACCAGTCGAAGACGCATTGATTTGTTTGGAGGACTTGTTGGTGTTCGGAGAGGATGCTTAGGGTCGATCGGTCGATGGTGACGAGGAGATTATCCTGCAGAATGTCAGCATATATGTCTTGCATGGCTATGGGAGATTTAACCTTTCTACCTGCAACCAACTCATTCCCATCTGGCGTCCACGCCAACGTGAATGGGCACTCGCCGACCTTGACTTCGCCGACACTAGCCTTGGACCGTATGTCCCAGAACCTGACCATGCCATCAGACGTGGAGCTTGCGAGCTCATTCTCGTTGATTGGGTGAAAGGATACGCGCTCTAGGGCTGCTGTCGTATTGGGCGTGCGCAATTCGGTCGAGTTCTTAGCATTCGTCTTTTCAGGGTTCCAGATGCGCAGTGTCCTATCAGCAGCGCCTGTCGCGATGAATGTTCCAGAGGCGTTCCATGATAGCGTGCGGATGTAGTGCGAGGATGATACCGCGTTGGGACGAGGGCTGTCTTGGTAGACGGATGTCTTGAGCTTTCGGAAGTGTTCGTGGAAGGAATCTGACTTGATCGAGCGCGCACGTATCGGGGGCGCCATGTTTGAAATTCGATGTTTCACGCGACTGGTGAGGGGCTGGTAGTTATGCGACGGCGAAGTTTGTGGTGTTGAAGCTCGATTGCGAGAAGCTCAAGCTCAAGGTTCACACGGACCATGCCCTGCCGACCGAAGCTCAGGGTCGGCCCTTCACGATACCGCAAGCAATGATGTACGAACACATGTTTGGTAGTCATGTTGCAGAAGAGTAACATGATGTGCATGTCAATTTAGCAGCGTTGGTGCCTCGCATCTCATCATATTATTCCATTTCAACAACTGCAGTAGCTGTCTAATCCTTCTTGCTCTCAGCACCCTCTTTCTGCATGCCCTCGCAGCCAACCAGATTTCCTGCCTTCTCCTCAATGCCGCCCATTCCTTGTTGGCTGGGGTCGCGGTTCGCTGATGCTGCCTTCATTGCGTCTACGGCCTGCTCCTTGTCTTGCGCACCCGATGCCTTCCATGGCTCACTACCGGTGACGTTTCCGATGGTCTCCTAGAGGTGAGTTAGCATCTAGCATTACATTTTTGAGTAGTGGAAAGTTGAGTCGTCACGTACCTCAGCGGCGCCCTTGACGTATTGGGCGTGAGAAGAGACGAGACCGGGGTTGTTTGGTGCGGCAGACATGTTGATGTGTGTGGTGAATTTCCGATAAAAAGGTTATAGAGGTATGTGTAGAATGCCTTGAAAATATGTAGATGGTTGGTAGTCTTGCACGACTTGCGCTGGAAGTTTGGCCACTATATCGAGTGACGGGCACGTTGACGTCATCAAGCACATCACATGGAGACGCGCTCCAGCTCGCGCGTCAGCGTGAGCATTACACGCTTCTGCAGCAGCTCTAGTTTCAGTCGCGTCCAAATTTTAGAGTCTCTCCACTCGAAAGGAATAGCCATTGACCATATGACGTTGATGTAATCCACGGGCGCTGAGGCCGCGTTCCATAGTACGTGTGTGCTTGTTGGAGGCTCTGCGGTGCCATACAAAGTGGCGGATATGATGCCTGAGGCATCAAGATCATGAACGGTTTCGACGAAGCTTGGTTCTTCGAAGGCTTGAACTTCGCAAGCCTTTGCAGCTTGAGCACCTTCTGGTTCAGGCAAGTGCAGATGTACCTCGGCAACTATCTTCACGCCAAAAGATACTTACAAATCAACGGCATTGCGTGCTCCAGCATAGGCGACTTGGAGATTTCTTCTAGCACCTTTTCCCAACTGATTTATAATTTCCCATATTCTTTTATGCAAAAGTCGTAGACCAAAATCCTCAGACTCGGCACCTCAACATGGCACCCCAAGACTACAACCAAGGCGTCCCTGGCCTCCCATACTTCACCCCAAAACATTTGACCTCACCAGGAACGCCCGCCCCAAACACCAAACAAAATGACACAACACCAACACTATTCACGCCCCTCACCATCCGCGGCACCACCCTCCGCAACCGCATTCTCGTAGCGCCCATGTGCCAATACAGCACCGCATCCTCAGGCCCCACCATTGGCGCCCTAACAGACTACCACATCGCAACGCTCGGCCACTACGCCCTCAAAGGCGCAGGTCTAGTCTTCATAGAAGCCACCGGCGTTCAAGCCAACGGCCGCATCTCACCAAACTGCCCCGGCATATGGAGTGATTCCCAGATCCCCGCGCTGCGAAGAGTCTCGGATTTCATCAAGAGCCAGGGCGCGCAGAGTGGTCTCCAACTAGCGCATGCGGGACGAAAGGCGAGTACATGCGCGCCCTGGATCGCCGGCGAGCAAAAGACACAAGGCGGGAAGCGGAAAGTCAGCGTCAAAGCCGACGTAGACGCCGATGGCTGGCCAACAAACGTCGTCGGCCCCATGGGCGGCCAAGAATGGGCGTGGGACGAGAAAGCGGCCGATGACGAGAGCAGCGGATACTGGGCCCCTCGCGCTCTCAGCGAGAAGGAGATCAAAGAGTTAATCCAAGACTGGGCTGACGCAGCGCAACGAGCAGTAAAAGCCGGTATCGACGTGCTCGAAATCCACGGCGCACATGGCTACCTCATCCACCAATTCCTCTCCCCCGTTACAAACCAGCGTACAGATGCCTACGGCGGTTCCTTCGAAAACCGGACTCGTCTTTTAGTCGAAATCACCAAGGCCATTCGAGCCGTTATCCCAGAAACTATGCCCCTGTACCTCCGCATCAGCTCCACAGACTGGATGGAAGAAACCGACCTAGGCAAAGCTCGCGGGACCTGGGACGTCGAAAGCTCGATCCGCCTCGCAAAACTTCTCCCCGGTCTAGGCATCGACCTCCTCGACGTAAGCAGTGGAGGCAACCACCCCGAGCAGCGAATCAACATGTTCGATTCAAAGGACTACCAGATCAAAATCGCCGCGCAAATCCGGAGTGCACTCAAGAAAGAGAATCTCAGTCTTTTCATCGGCGCTGTGGGTCTTATTACTGAGGCAGAGCAGGCGAGGGATATTGTTGAAGAGGGCGGTGCGGCGACGATTGCGAGGATTGGGGATGAGGAGGTGGCGAAGGAGGCGAAGGCTGCGGTTAAGGTTACGGAGGGGAAGGAGCCGTTGGCGGATGTTGTGCTTGTTGCGAGACAGTTTATGAGGGAGCCCGAGTGGGTGCTTAGGGTGGCGTGGCAGTTGGGGTTGGATGTTGCGTGGCCGAATCAGTTTTTGAGGGTTAGGTTTCCGAAGTTGTAGTGTGTGTCGTGAGCTTCTTGTAAATCCTACCGGGTGGCTAGATCTCGTGTCGCATACGGACTATCAATCTTGGGGATATTCGGCAAGTGTGCCTTGCGGTTTCTGCAATTACACGGCTGTCGCGGCGCGCATCCCTGTAGATCAATAGTCTCGCTCTCTGAACGTCAGCGCTAGCCATGCCGTCGTGCATAATGTACAGCCACCACCATGTTGGATGTGAGGGGCTACGACTGACTTCCTGTTTACCTCGATGCTCCTGGGCATACAGAAATAATACCACTACCACCACCTACTGGGGCAGGCACTATTGTCAACATGGGCGACCCTCACAACTCATTAATTCCTGCTCTTGCCATACCGGGCAGATCACGATCTCCATAAGAAGAAACGGCCCCAAAGCTACCCCCAGCATCGCAGACAAAGCTCTGCGAACCTGGCAGAGCTTTACTTCACGGAGAAAGAACAATATGTGATGGAGAACCTGAAAGCGGCCACCAACACATGGTCCACCATCCCGATGCAAAGTCTTTCCAAGACGCACTTGACCTTCCCTGTGACCTCTGCATTCGACTCTACAAAGCTTTCAGTATGATCCTCTTATCAAAACAGATAGTTATAGAGCTGACCTTCTGAAAGGTAGTCCCAATCGGGCTCCATATAGTACGGGGCCAACATGCTACGGTTCATACAAGCGTTCGAAGGGAGAACCAGCTCGTTATAAAACATATGCATGCTTCGAACTCAAGAGTGGAGAGCGCAGCTGCACGCCTGTTCTAGAATCGTACGAATGTAAGAGAGGCAACCTTTTCGTTCATCGTTCGCTTTAACCAGAGAACTGATTTTGGATCGAAGTGAGACCTGACTTACATTATCAACACATCACCGCAAATACAGGGGATGCCAAGGCCCTGTCATTTCTTGGAGGCCAGCTAGAAGCATGCCGGAGGATGCATTCGAAATGCCAACATCTCGCTCCTTACAACAACTTCCTGCCTACAAGAGTCATCTACGTTGGGTCTGCCGAGGACGAAGCAATCCGCCTGTGCGATAAAACCGAGGCATCTACCGAAGCAGCCTACACTGTACTTTCGCACTGCTGGGGAAATAATCCACATCATCTCATGCTGACTAAATCCACCGCCGACATGCTGAGAAAAGGCATTCCCTGCTCTCGTCTGTCCAAAACCTTCCAGGACGCCGTCACTATCACGCGGAAATTCCAGATACATTACATTTGGATTGACTCCTTGTAATTGTTCAGACTCTCATCGCTTGATGCAGTCGCTAATCACATGCAGATGCATCTTCCAGGACGACCTCCATGACTGGGCCACGGAGGCACAGTCCATGCGCGAAGTTTACAGCAAAGCGGAATTCTGCATCGCGGCGACCTCTGCCGAATCTGGAGATGATGGCCTTTTCTATGGCCGTGATGTTCACCAGCTAACGCCGGTCACGGTCGAGTTGACCCAGTCGAACACCGAGGACCTGTATGACTGGCCAAATCCGGGTACATACCTATTCGGCTTTCATTCGCTCAACTTGTGGCACTTCGTCGACTCTTCACCCTTGAATAGAAGGGCGTGGGTTGCTCAAGAACGCTTTCTTTCCCCACGGATCTTGCACTTTATGCGAGAATTGCTTGTCTGGGAATGCAATACCTCTTACACGCATGAAAATTACGCCAAAACAAGCGTTGACCCGGCTACGATCCATCTATACATAGATGCCAGTGCTCTCAAAAGGGTCATCAATAGCATTCGATGGCAGGGACCTGACATCGGATCAATCCTACATTCTGAGTTACTAAGAGGTACTATGTTTGGGCGTCAGCCCAGCGACAATACAGAACAACTGACCCAAAACACAATATATCAAGGGCGGGGTCAGTTCCTGCATAGTTACAGTGCCCACAGTTTGACTAAAGAGTCGGATATCTTTGTAGCGCTCAACGGCGTTGCGGACGAAGTTGGACACATTATGAGCGATCGCTTGATTGCCGGCTTGTGGGAAGGACGTTTTATCGAGGACATGTGTTGGCGTCCACAAATGGGATCTGGGAGGCCTACGGTGTGGCGCGCGCCTAGTTGGAGCTGGGCCAGAATGAAGGGCTCAGTTCATTCTGCGGCGATGACGCGCCAGTTCTCTTGGATACGTCCAGAAGATCGGTGCCCGTACAACATGGCAGCAGTCGTCGAGCTGAATATAACAACAAAGCCTTCTGGAGAACTCGAGCAAGCTTCGGTGCTTCTGGAATGCAGAATCATACCAGTAAACGTTTGCTCTGCGTCTGATTCGTCATTTCGCAATGCCTGGTGTACCATGACGAAAGGCAAATGGCCGTCGTCCATGGCAGAGACATTTGCCGAAAGTAAGCCCAGCGCTGAAGCCCACGGAGCGTTCGAGATTATGATTGAGGATTACAGCGCTCCTCGTTACCACAATCACAAAGTAATCGATGCCCAGTTGCTTGTCCTCGTGCGGCGCGGTGCTTCCGGCGAGACGAAATCATTAGAAGGCATTTGTATAGTGGAGTCCACAAGTCATGCAGGCGGGTTTGAGAGGATTGGGTATTTTGACCTTCACAAAGAGAACGCAATCTCAGTGCGTGCAGCATACGAACAAGCTAGGGTTCAAATCATCTTGTTGGTGTGATATGCCTGTAAATTTCACCGTCGGAGTTGCCAGCACCACTCAGCGAGCTTCCATCGGATGAGGTATCGGCTCCAGCACGCACGTCGTCGCGACAATGAGGGGGTTCATAAGATCTGCATTGGTTGTGGAGGTCTTTGTCGTACGTTCTTATGCGAGGTCCACGTAAAGCGGTTGTCTAAGAAGATCAGGGATTCTGCGGAGGTGTAAACCTGTATGAGAAGCCCACGCATGAGGACCGCCGTGCCGGTACTGCGTATGCAATTGACTGACATTGGCGCGGGGTTGTTGAGGGATGTGGATATAGCCAGGAAGGAGCATTCGGGTTGTTCGGGACGGTCTTTCTTTGCCGGCAACGGGCATATAACGATGGCCGCTTACATTGGAAGGCGCGGAACCGCAATCTCTTATCGTGTAAGTGAGCATGACCAATACTCATCCAACTCTTTTGTGCAAACTCGAAAAAGAGAATTCAGATGGACGGTATTCTGACTCGTGAGGATGGATTTTGACAATTCGCATGACGAAAGCGGATCCACCTGCAGGACTGCGCGGTGCGCTCCGCGATGCATGAACGTGTGGGATTCGTCGCGGATTGGCTGAGGTGCGTTAGCGAGGACAGCGACAACGGCGACAGGTGCAACGGCGATGATCACATGTCGGAGGCGGTTGACGCCATATCGCGTCGTTGAGAGGTGAAATCAAGCGACGGGTGAATTGAAGATGATGCAGGTTGCAGATGCGGGGGGAGGACGGATGCTGGATTGGGAATTGGGCAGCATGGAAGGGGAAAGGGCGAGTGGCTAGCGGCCGGTGACGTCCACCGAGCTCAGGTCTCGATTCACTTGGTGGTGAAGGAAATTTTAGCAGAGGCGCGCCCCATGCTTCCGACAAGCCGCGCAATCCCTGCACCCGACGGCCTTTCACCATCATGTCTGATCTCCGGCGACGACGCCAATTTCACTCAAAGGCGCACCTTTGTCGCGTCACGTCGACATTGTTTGAGGCACTGTTGAACCCGCCTCCAGCGCCGCCTAGCTCCCGGTAGCAGCCCTCCACTTCCAAGTTTGGATCCCGCCTGGACTTCTCCACTTAAACTTCCGCGGGACTGGCGATGCGTCGCTGAGTTTTGAACGTTAGACGATACCTAGATATTCCTAATCAGGCGCCATGCCTTCGCGTCTGTTCTCGCGCGACTCGCCCGCAGCAGAGCAGCAGCTTCCCTTCACCAGCGACGCCGTCAACGAAGCCGACTTCGCCCACGATGCCTCGCACGCCGAGCAGGGCAGCCAGTCCCTCCCACGCCGGATAAGAGGGAATTCGATTGCTGGGGGCCCTCTCTCGGGCTCCTACACGCGCAATCCCATCCGCTCCTTCGCGCATCAGACCTCCCACGGGTTTGCCGGTACCTACCCCAAGCCTCATCTATGGGCAGCCACTGACTGCCGCGTAGATACCCCTCAGTACTCGTCCCAAGGCGTGCGAGAGAGAAGCTCCCAATTGGCCTCGTATGCCCTCGAAGCCGAAGACTACCAGGACCGACCCCAGCGCCACAGCTTCGCCGACCCTGACACGTTCTCCGGGAGACATGCGGGCATACTGTCCGATAACGACGAGGGGCGCGCCTCGATAGACACGGGTCGCTGGACCGACACCATTGAGGAGGACAGCGAGGCCGAGACGCCCGATACCGTTATCGGGCCACAACAGGCTGATAAGGGCTTCTTCAGCCCCAAGCTGCCGGGAGCGACGTCACAGAGCGCGAAGAAGACACCGGGCAGCTCACACGTGCCGGGTGTAGTTGTCGAGGATACTGAGCGCACGCCTCTGCTGCCACAGACCAGACTATCGCGCCCGGACCCACAACAAAAGCAGAAGCCCTCCGAGAGCCACTCGTGGACACCGCACTCCAAGTCGCGCCTGCCTCAACGCGTGAAACAAACATTCGCTGCCGGACGGGGACACCTACTGGATGTGAGCGCGTCTCTAACCAACCCCAAGAACTATACCAAGGATGCTCTCATCTCGAGCGCTCTCAGCAGTGTTCAGATCACGTCGGCCGTATTCCTCGGTCTGCTTCTCAACCTCCTGGATGCGCTGTCCTATGGCTACATTCTGTTCCCGCTCGGTGCGCCCATCTTTAGCAACACCGGCCCGGATGGTATTTCCATCTTCTTCGTGAGCTGTATTGTTTCCCAACTCTGCTACTCTTTGGGACTTTCCGTGTTCAAAGGAGGTGTTGGTTCCGAGATGATTGAGGTAGTGCCCTTCTTCCACAAGATGGCCTACTCCATCATGAACCAGATGGAGGGCAAACCACCGGAGGCCATCATAGCCACCACCATTGT